GTAATAAATATTAATTTATTGAACACATCAAATAACACCAACCAAACATTACCATTAATTTAAACTACTACAACAACAACAATAGCAATGACGTTGATCAAATTAATATTTTGGGTGACACAAATCATAATTTTTATTAAAAAACCAAACAGATTCTTACCTGTTTTCCATAACTAGCAAATACTATATATTACATATATAAAAACTATTTTGTAATATCACAAATTATTATTTATCACCAAATTTAAACAAAGGGTCGTTTTTTAAATAATTTTAATATATAAAGAAACAAAGGGGTGATTCTATTTATTTTATTTATTTATGTAACAATAAAAAAGAATTAGAACAAAAAGTTTATTAAATAGTTAGTTAGTTAAGTAAAAGTTAATTGTTATTGTTATTGTTTAATTAAATAAAATGCACATTATAAATAAAAAAAAAAAAAGTACTATTTATGAAAATTTTTTATATATAAACTCGAATTTTCTTCTTCTCATCCAAAATAAAATTTTTTTCTCGAAAAAAAAGAAAAACAATTAATTTGCAAAATAAAATTTATCTACAATTAAATTTTATAAATTTTCTAAACAAATTTATATAATCTTCTTCTTAATCCAACAAATTCAATTTATTATAATCTTCTTTCTCTCCCACTAAAAGATTTATAACAATGCCTTCAACAAATCAAACAGAGAGCAACATTTCCTCAACAGTTGATGAAACCTCAACAAAAAGCGCTACACAAAATCCAAAAACTATGGAATACGAATATCTTGTATTGCCTCCAAATTCTAATAATAACAATAATGCTCATGACGATAATAATAATAATATCGACATTAATCAACAGCAATTACATTTGCTTACTAAAACCAAACGTATAGATTGTAATAATCAAACTAGTGGATCAATCTTTTGGATTCCGGATGGTTATCGTCCTTTACTAGTAAGAACATCGGATATACCTTTACTTGTAGGCACTGAATTTCCAATCACACCATCATCATCTCCTTCCTCGTTCTCATCCGAAGGAGAGTACAACAATTAAAACTTAAAAATAAAACGAAAAAGCTTTGTGAATTCAATGTTTTACATACTTTTTTTTTTCATTTTTAAATTTACAACAACAGTGGATGTATTACATTGAATTCATAAAAAATATCAACATCAAAAACCAATATATTATCATCATCTCATAATAACATCATAAATACGCAACCTCTCCAAAATATTATATATAAGCCAACTAATTACTAAACATTTCATTTATTCATTCATTCATCCACATCCATCTATCCAATTCAACTAATTTCATTTCAAACGAAAAATAACCAAAAATATTACTCACTTTCACTAATTACATAATTTCATACCTTCATTTTTATTTTATTTTAATATTCCGTTGATCGGTTAAAATTTTCCCTGCAATGATAGATTGTAGATATATTTTCCTTTCTTTTTTTTAAAAAAAAAAAAAAAATTCAATTCATTCTTTAATTTTTTGTAATTATATTGTAATTAT